CTTCCACCGCAGGCACGCCTCGCCCAGGCTCTCCTCCGGCCACTCGAAGTGCTCCATGGCGTTCTCAGACCCCACCGAGTTGGCAGTGGTGTTGGAGTAGCAGCTGTAGCTGGCGGCCCCTGCGCTTGACGTCGCCGCCGGGATGGTGGGCTTGGAGTTGAAGGCCAGCGGGGCCGCGTCCTTCAGCGTGTCCTTGGTCTCGGTGGCCGCGAACTCCACCTGGGGACCTTCGTACACCTCCTCACCAAAATCCTTCCCCGCGCTGGCCCCCGAAGCCTTGTCCAGCTTGAGGGGCTCGGTGAGCGTGCTGGAGTCGCCCTGGCTGGGCCAGGCACCCTTCACCATGGAGTCCAGGCAGGGCCGGTGGTTCTCCAGCTGGAAGGGGGACTTGGTGGCTTCCTTGCTCAGCATGGGCGAGTTGGCCCAGGCTTTGTCCGCCTTCTCGCTGATGGCGTCCTGCAGGACGATGATCTCGGAAGCCAGCTCCTCCTGGGACAGGGCGCTGAGGAGCAGCCGGGGACAGTCCCGTTCGTTGGTCACGTACTTGGTGAAGGTCTCCAGGGGCAGGCTGGCGTGGATGCTCTGGAAGGAGTCATCTGATTTAGTGGACATGTCGTCTGGGGAGGTCACAGAGCAGGTGGACACCGACTCGGGCTTCGCCTTGGAGTTGCTGTTGACGCGGGCAGGGCTGCGGTTCTGGTTGCAGTACAGGAAACTCCTCTCCAGCTGGTCCTCCGACCCGCTGAGATAGTCGGCGTCCTGCGTCTCGGCGTGGACGGACTGGGGGGTGCTGAGCGGGTCGGACAGAGGGGTCCCCACCTGCTCTGCCGAGTAGGTGCTGCTCTCGGGGCTGCAGTGCTGCCCCTTGAGCTGCTCGGGGGTCCTTGCTGGGGTCTTGATGCCCTTTTTCTGGGGCACGGCTGCTTTGGAGAGCAGCAGCTGCTGGACGGTGTTGGAGATGTTCTCCACCTGGGAGGTAAGCGCCGTCAGGCTCTGCAGGCTCAGGTCCGACAGCAGGTTTTCGGGCAGCTTCTCCTTCTGCAAGTTTTTGCAGTTCCCGGATTGAGCATCAGGGCTCGTCCCGTCGGTGGGAGAAGGATTCAGCAGTGGCATGAAATGGCTGTGGTCGGCGATGCCGGCCGGGAAGGCGCCGGCGCTCAGCGGCTGCTGGCTGTACTGGAAGTTCTCCAGGTTGGGCATCAGCGGGGAGGGAGTGGAGCTGTAGGACGGGGACCTGCCG